CTTTACTTTAACACGTTTATTGGAAGTTATACCGTTTACCGCTTTAAAAAGAAGTACGATATTATCTTAAAGATTCTTTATATACTTACATAATACTGATGTTTAAAGATGGTAATTTATTTTTCCTCAGATTAGTGTTATATGACCAAAATTTTAATTTTGGGAACACCGAGCATCAGGATGAAGAAGATCTTACAATGAACCTTCCAGAGTCCAACACATATCGAGATACGAGTATAAATAGCTGCACTTTCTTACCACCTCTACTGCGCCCTCCTTTCTGCCAAGGAGGGTCGCGTTCGTATACGGCTTAGAGATCTCTAGTCAGATCGTTAAGCCAATTACCAAAAGGTTGAGTTTAGTGGGTAAAAGTCTCCACATAACCACGCAGCCGGCTGCGTGGTATGCTATGAGCATTCTCAACCTCCCTCCCCCCGCTTTCCGGAGGGTTGCCCATATTTGCTTCGGGCGCAAAAAAAAAAAAACCACCTCTAACAAAAATGCATATTAGGAATTGTTTTTGCTGGTATGTTTGTTCTTCATAATAATGATATAAAATTACTCAAAATACATAATATATAAGTTAATTAAATTTCTTTTATATTTTATTCTCATTATCCTCATTTGAAGTTGGTTTTGGTTTTTGTTAACAATAAGGTTGGCGTGCAGGTTGTTAGTCACTATAATAAAAAAATGATTATAGGTTTGAGGTGCAATTATATATTATAATATTTTATTTGTTACAGTGCTGTTATGAAATTTGATAATGCTAAATCCTTATATGAGTCTCGATACCTCATCCTTGCAAGAGCTTCAACTGTTGGTGACTCTACTTTTGTAAAAGGCTATTGCAAAAAGACTATGAGAGCATTACAGTTTGAAATAGATGTTAAAATTCATAAAAATGGAACACCTCGGGAATCCCACTGTGAGTATCCAGCTGGAAGTGGCATAGAGGCAAAGTGCAAGCATATTGCTTTGCTTTTAACTGGAATTGAACACATGGTGCATCACAAAATTATATTACTGCATCAAGTTCAAGGACATTTCATATGCCCAAAACTTCATTTACAGCACCTCCTATAACTGCACACAAGTTACCTAAGAAAAAAATACTACCTATCCACAACTTAACAGATCAATTACAAGTACCTGCCGTTCTTCACAAGTTAATGTATTTAGTATCTAATTATTAACTTGTTATTTCTCATGATAAGTGAATTGTATTCTTTTTGAGAAATAAATATCTTAAACCGTAAAAATAGTATAAGGTTTAGTCCGTACCCTATTCATATGATTGACAAAGAGAGTTACAACAATAAAATTCGTAATTTAATTTTAAATTATCCAAATTCTACAATGCCTCTTAAACATTTATATGAACCAGCAAATCCCTACGCCATCATAGCAGATCATGCCTACACATCTTCCAACCCTGAAAATAAAATTTTAGAAAAACTATGTTTATTAAATGTTAATGAAGAATCTATAATAATATTGAGAAAATAACAAGAGGACAAAAAACAATTAAATGTGGTATGAAGAAAGAAAACACGGAATAATTGCCAGCAATTTTCATACAGTTTGCCATCTAAAAGCCTCTTCAAAACTTAGTTACTGCAAACAACTTTTTAGTAAAAAACCCTTTTCATCCAGGCTAACAACACATGGAATATTGAATGAACCAATAGCCCTAAATGAGTATCTATATCAGTCTAAGTTTGAATTAAATATTGAACCTTGTGGGTTATTTATTAGCAAGCAGAGACCATATTTGGTTGCTACACCGGTAGGTCTACTGGGAAATGATACCATTATGGAAATAAAATGTCCATTTTCCACAAGAAACAATATCACTACTCCAGCAGCTGTGCCCTATCTGGTAAATGACCCTTTAAATAAAAAGATGCTATTAAAAAAAAACCAGTTCAATCTATTAGGACAAACAGGATTTACTGTAATTTAATTATTTATAAAGACATGAAAGTTGTTTATATTACTAGATGATCATCATCATTTTATTTCAGAGATGATAGAAAAGTTGGACGACTTTTATAATTATTATTTTAAAAGCATACATTTAAATAACTATTTGTATAATAATTACGATTCAATAAAAAAACAAAATTGAATGTTTTCAATTTTGTTTGTTATTAAATCTATTATTTTTATAGGGGTATCTGTATAGTTTTCTCATCTGGTTGGTTTCTATAAATATATAATTATAAATAAAAATGAAAAGGTAAATATACATAAATATCAATAAAATAAAATAAATACAAAAAATACACAAATAAATAAAGATCCAACCAGATGGAAGCCCTCGGCAGGCGAGACCAAACGGCCGAGTGTTAGGAGGAAAGGGAAAGAAACCGACGGACGATGCGGGCGGTATCGAGGACCACTGCCTTCTGCATTTGAGCCCGGAGCTCTCCGTCAAGGAGTCCCAGTCGCCTCAGATGACCCGAGAGGCTGACTGGGATTAGCCCATTCGCAGAGACGACTACAGGAATAATTTCGGTCGGCCAACCACCCCACATGTCGGTCACTTCGTGAGCCAGGTCCAGATATTTTGTTCGCTTATCTGTTTCGGCTTTCACGAGGTTCTCCTCATACGGAATGGTAATGTCGACCAAAAATATCCTTGACTGTGCCCGGTCCATTAGCACAATATCAGGCTTATTCGCAAGAATAGTCCTATCTGTGATGATGGCCCGGTCCCAGTAGAGCCTGGCGCGGTGAGCACAGCTTCCGGCAAGTACTTGTAATACGGCACTTTCCGGTCCACGAGACCGTATTTCAGAGCGAGCTCCTGGTGTAGAATTCTGGCTACTAGGTTGTGCCTGTGCAGGTACTCAGAGTTAGAAAGCGCCGAACAACCGGAGATGACATGCCTAAGTGACGCCCCGGGATGGTGACAAGCTCGACAGACGTCGACGGTGCCATCCTTTAGGATGTATCTCCGATAGTTGTTGGTCTTAATAACCTGATCCTGTATTGCACAGACAAAACCCTCGGTTTCCCCGAAGAGGTCACCGAAACGTAGCCAGTTGAGGGAGGCGACTGTATCTACGAAGGGCTCATATAGAGCCTTGTAGTACCTCCCGTGGAGCTCCTTCTCCTTCCATACGGTCTCCCGGTCGGAAATGCTAAGCACTGCTGGGTCCTGCCATTGCTTGGCTAAGGATAGAGAGGTAAGCCCTTTATCACTAGAAATGGTGTCATTATAGATGGATCATCCGATCTCGCCAAGAAATATTGACGGAGACTGCACACTTCGCGATTATGCATGGTGAGCGCGCTCAGAAAGCCACGCCCACCATGATTTCGCGGCAAGTACAGCCTCATTACCGACGATCTCGGATGATGCATCCTATGGGACGTCATGGTAGTGCGGACTTTTCTATCCAGGGCGTTAAGCTCAGTCTGAGTCCACCTGAGTATGCCAAAGGTATACATGAGAACAGGCATGACCCAGCAATTATATGCGTGTGACTTATTCACATCGGACAAAAGGTTGTTAAGCACTTTGGTCAAGCGTGCATTGAACACGTCGCAAACTGACTGTTTCATACCAGCCTCATCGATACCGATGTTCTGTGACATACCCAGGTATCGGTATGTTTCAGCCTCGGAAAGGGTCCTTAAGTTGACGGGCATAGACAAGTCTATGCCCTCAGAGTTAGCAACCCTTTCCCTTTCAACATGGAGGACCGCACACTTATCCGTCCTCAGCTCCATTCCAATGGAATTGCTAAATTCACAAGTGATGTTTAGCAGTTCCATAAGATGGGAGCGACTGAAGGCGAATAACTTGAGGTCATCGATATAGAAAAGGTGGGTCACTTTTGGCCTTCCTTTCCGTAGCTGAAATCCCCTCCCGGAGCCCTCCAGTAAGGTACTGAGAGGGTTCAGAGAGAGGCAGAACCAGATTGGACTCAAACAATCGCCCTGGAAGATACCCCTTCTTATCCTTATGTGGTTCTCCGCAGCCATCATCCGCTCGCCCAGATGACAAAGGATCGTACTCTATTATTATTTTAATTTTTGTATGTGTTACTTAGGTTGAATAAATATAAGTAAAAAAAGTAATGAGAAAAGCTAACAATTGGCCTTCAATAAGAAATATATAAATATTCTATTCTATTCTTTCTATTTATTGTACATTTTTATACACTAAATGATTTTTGTAAAATAAATTAATGCCTTGTGAAAGTGAAAGAGGGTGAAGTTTGTGATAATAGCAAGACATAACCATTTCATATATTTTTATTTGTTATTGGTATTTATCAGAACTATAATTAGGAAGTTTTTTTTATTTACATGATATATACTTGAATTTTTTTTCAATAGATTAGGGACAGCGGCGATTTTTTTTTCAATAGATGAGCACTGACTAACAAACCTATCTTCGCTTTCTAAACATCTCTGAACAATAGTTTCGATTGTGAAGAAAAAGAGTAACTATATCTTTTTATTTACAATATTTTCCTTAAAATTACATAACATAAAACAAATGAATATTTCTGATGCCAAAGGAACATAGAATGAGAAAAGTGGTGTCTGTAGTACAGTATTTTATAGGTTTTTGTAAGGTCTATAAGCCTTTCTATGTGTACCCTTTGACTTGCAAGTCTTTGATCATTTTTTAATACTGCAACTGGTAACTGTGATTTACCTCTCAAGAAAGTAGGTATGTTGACTGCAATATTTTTTTGAGCAAACAAGTCTTGCACATTAAACCCTCTATCAGCAATTATATTGTCCCCATCATCACACAAATTTAACAATGAGCTACGTTCAATCATTTGCCGGTCACTGGTTGCTCCCCCATAGCCTTCAGAACAATAAGACAGGAGACCGCCTGGTGTAGAGCCCACCAAAAACTTTATAGTGTTGGTATTTTTATAAGTGCTGTAAGTGGCTTTCTATGATGTAGGATTGCTAGGTTTAGCAATAGGCACTCCTCTTGCATCAAAAATTATTCTTGTTTTGCTACTTTAATCTTTAAATATTTGAGGCATATAGTAATGTACTAAATCACGTCGAGGCCAAATATCAATCATTGACCATAATTTATGTACAAAGTGAATCCAAGTAACTATTATGTTTGAAACCTCGGTTTTGCTTATATTGAATATTTTAGCTATTTCGTAATCAGGTTTATTGCGTCTGAGCTTAATAAGTAATATAAGGAATTCATCTTCAATTGAGACGCCAATAACTTGACTCCAGCGGTATGTAAGACTATTGGCCATTGGCAAGACGGTGTTGAGCATTAGTTGAAATTTTGAGTAAAATTCTAATCCTGTGTAAAACATGAGTGACTCATTATCAGTTAATAATAAATCTGTAGAAAATATTTTTAACATAACACTTGACTGGGTTCCTACGGACTTGTAATTGTGGACAGGAGTTAATTCCTCAAGGTTTTCTGCCTCTGGGCACTGGTCACTAGCAATATCCAGAGTCTGGATACACTGTTCACTTGCGATATCCAGAGCCTGCGTACAAAGTTCTTCAGCAAAATTTAAGTCTTCATGTCTGTATATGGGCGCAGAAGTGTGCGCCTGCTCAAAAAGCGCCTTTTTATTACGTGCCAATAATTGTTCCTCTCGAACTTGACCTTCCTGCAAAATAGCTTTCGTAGTCCATGCAAACACTGAAGGGACGGCAGATTTTTTCAAGTAACGATGCTGATGCTTATTACCTGAAAATAATCAAAATTGTTAAGGAAAATGTACTTATGTGTGGTGCAAGGTATGTTAAAACAATATCAAAGGATATACCTGTACAAATACTGGTTTTTTGATAATCAGTCTCTAAAAAATGATTACGACATAACCTCGAATTTTTTTCAGGCTTAAAATTTATTCTTCTTATAGCTTTAAGCGACATTTTTCTTACTTCTTCGTTTTTAGGGAATTGATGTGCACCAATTTCTTTGCAATACGGTACTTCACACATCTTTGGCATTGTGAAAATAGTAATTATTCAAAATATCTCATACAATTTTAACTTTTTTTGGTTAAAGCTATGCTAGCGCTACTTTGACAGTTGCTAACCCCATTATATGAAAGTGACCATGTTAAACGGATGACCATACTACCCACACGTACTATATTTATTTATTTACGTAACATAATTCAAAGAAAATTTAAAATAATAAAAAGACGATGAACTAATCCTATCATACAAATTACTCTCTATGGTATAGTACCAAGAAAACTGGCTACATTTTCTCACTGAGTGGCTAATTAGCGTTTTAAAAAAAACAGCCCTTTTATTATAAGCTTCGATGAAAAATGGCAGATACCATTTACATAATACTTTCAACGCGCGTGGATGTCACAAAGTGATAGTCTGTACGGAAAATGGCACAAATGTTATATGGGCATCACTCAGACACTCGTATTTGTGACATGTTAGTTCTGCTGCCCTTGGCTGGCCCTGATGCTGCTCCTGTCACAGTTCCAAATAAAGTGTTTAGTTGTTGAAACTAACCCGCTGATTATAATCAATATTATGAAGTTCATAATAAAATATTTTAAATTTTTATGTAGAAAAAGGTCAATCGACCTAGCTGTCAGAGTTAATGAGCTAAAGTAGCAAATCTATGTGTCGCCTCACCTGTATTTAAAATAGTTGGAAACCCTGGAGCCGAGTCTACAAGGCACGATAAATCTAGTATGGGACGTTTTCCTCCTTGTAGGCCGGAAGTAGGAAGATCAAAGTACCTTTACATGGCATTGGGAAAGTATTGGGCGCGTAGGGCAAAAAATAGAACTGCACGCTGGAGTTAGGAAAACGAAAATAAAATATAATTTTAGTGATTCAGTTATACAAGGTATATAAAGTCGCTGTTAAGACAATCTATTGTGTTTGAAAATGCAAAAGAACCTATATATTTTTATTTAATGATTACTTAAAAGGTTCATTTCAGTTTTTAAAGCACCACGTAAATTATTATATAGTGTTGTTAGTTTATATTTATTATGTATATGTATTTTATGTATTTGTTTTGTATGTGGATAAATTTGTTATCATATTATATATATTAATATTTAGTGTTTATATTATGTATATGATTACTTGAATTTATTAATTGCTATTATGTAGATAGATTATAATTATTCTAATGTATAAGTTAATGTATATTATTGTGTAAGTAATGTTTAACAATTATCTATGTTATGTGTATTTTTTGTTTATTATTTGTAGAAAATATTATTTCAAGATGTTTTTCATATTTTTAAATGTTATTTTTTCTTTAATAGCATTAGGTATAAGGTTAATTAGGTAAGGTATTATGTAATTTAATCGTCTTTTACTATACAGGTTATTATAAGAAGGTAGTTGAAGTTTGATGTGATCTTGCCTACGGATTGAATAATTTTTGTGTGGTTTTTGTAGATTTTCAGTAAAATAATATTGCAATAACAGAATTAGTTCCGGTTCCGGTGTTTGAATAGTACGAACGTCATAAAGTGTGCTCCGAAAATATAAATCCATAACTGTTTAAGAACTGCATAAATCTACAAAGTGTGCAAGTGTATCGATAAATTAGGACTAAAAGTGCAAATAAAGTAATAAAAATCGTGTGTGTAAAGAACAAAATAAATGCTAAAAAGTGCAAATAACTTTGTCTTCTTACACATAAGCAATAGTTAATTCTTACATATAGCAGTGCTACTGTGCTACCAACATCAGAGAAAGATTACTTTTGCCTTGGATACGTGTCTTTTAAGCCTATAACGGAACATTGCGTTTCGTTCTACCATAGACCAAATAAGCTGCGTTCACGACTTAGAAGAATTATTCCAAGGCTTGTAGTATTACTTTCCACTCCATGCAAGGGAGAGTAGGGAAAATGGAAAAACCTTCAATCTCTTTTCGATCAAATTAAAATAGAAATGTCAAAACAAACCGATGACATCATGACACGAATCGACGAAAAATTAGTTCCTTTCAGAGTTGCAATGCAGGAATTAAGGTCAGAAAATGAGAAATTAAAGGAAAAGATAAAAAATATAGAAAAACATGCAAGGTCAAATAACCTAATTTTATATGGAGTAAAAGAAACTAAAAATCGACCGACAATCTCATCGAAATCATTATAAAGAAATTTAAAGACGATCTAAATATTACCATAGAAGACAGAGACATAAACACGATAAACAGAATTGGCAAAAACAACATAGAAAATGGCAAGGACAGGCCAATCCTCCTGGCATTTGTAAACTTCTGGAAGAAAAACTTAATAATGGCAAATAAAAAGAAACTGAAAAATGTTTATGTGTCTGAAGACTACCCGAAAGAAATCCTCGACAAGAGAAGGAAACTACAGCTCATATTAGAAGAAGAAAGGAAGAAAGGAAATTATGCATACATAAATTATGATAAGCTAGTTATCAAAGAGAGGAAACCAGGAATTGAAAAACGCAAAAGAGAACCGTCAATCTCGCCCAATGCAAAAGAACACCCCCGTAAACAACAAGTGCCAGCTAAAACACACCGTCTAAGTGCTTTTGATTTAATGAGGTGTAGAAGCAACTCTTTGCCTTCGGACAACTCGCCAACTGTTCAGAACGCATAAGCGCAAATTGCCATCAGCCACCGGAACAAAACACTAAATAAACAAGAACTTAAAGATAACAAAAACAAAACATTCCCCAACCCGACTTGTCATCGTGGGGAATCAGACTGCAACCCTCCACCAAATACAGAAACATATCGAGATTTAAAACAAACCCTCAAAATTTGCACCTATAATGTAAGATCACTTGCATCAACAGAGCGATTCCTTGAATTAACTAATGCTTTAAAAAGTATCAACTGGGATATTCTAGGCCTCGCAGAAATCCGAAAAATGAGATGTGAGATCGAAGAATACAACGACTTCATTTTTTGTTACATTGGTGAAACCAAAGGAGGAGGAAGGAAGGTGACTACATGGAGTGTGATTTCTGATCAAGAAAAAATATAAAAACAACATTACCAACTTTATAGGAATCTCAGCAAGAGTAGCACTATTACAGGTAAAATTTGAATGCTTCTCCTTATCAATAATTCAAACATATTCAGACTGGGGGGACAATGACGTTGAATATGCTTACACCAAGACCGAAGGAAAGGTTATAGTCATGGGAGATTTTAATGCTAAAATTGGTTGTCCACAAGCAAACTATTACCCAATAATGGGAAAACATGGTTACGGAGTGTGCAATGAAAGAGGTGAACGTCTCTTAAGCTACGCTTATCAACACAAATTATCAATAATGAACTCATTTTTTAAAAAGAAGGAGAACCGAAGATGGACATGGTTATCGCCTGACCAAAAGACTAAAAATGAAATAGATTTTATAATGATAAACCACCATAAGCTTGTAACTAATATAGAAGTACTAAGCAAACTCAATTTCTCTTCCGATCTCAGATTAGTGAGAGCAACACTACGCTTAAATCACCCAATAAAGAGCAGAAAAACCTACACAACTCCACTAAAAATCCCCAAGACAGAAGCAGAAATCAAAAATTACATTGAAAATCTACGTGCACACACGGAATATATAGAAACAGAGCGCATCGACACCCAAACATATTACAATATCCTAGAAAGAGGTATAACAGAAAGCTTAAAAGACAAAAACACTACAAATCCTCATCAACATAACATTTTCTCCGATGACACAGTCCAACTTATAAGAAGGCGCTCGGAACTACTACACATAAAGAATAAAACCAAAGAGATGAAAGAAAAACTAAAAGAGGCTAATAGATCAATCCGTAAGGACTACAACAATCACAGATATGAGATTATTACAAGAAACATCGAGAATTTTAGGAGTGCCAAAAAAGCCTATAAAGAATTAACTACATTCAGAACATGGATTCAGAAACTTGAGCACAACTCACAAGAAACAAATTCTAGAAGAGATGTAATAAGCCAGGCAACAAGGTTTTACAAAAGCTTATACACCAAACAAAATAACACTGAAATGGAAACGCAAGCAATCCACAAAAATACGAATGACAGCATCAGACCAATTGAAGGCTCCGAAATTTACGAATATGTCAAAAAGCTGAAGGCTGAGAAGAGTCCCGGACCAGATGGAATATGCAATGAAGCCCTAAAAATAGGAGCACCCATCTTAATCCGCCATTTAACGCAACTATTTAACATGATACTAGACGAAGAAAAAGTACCAACACAATGGTGTACATCAGACATAATTCTGCTCTTCAAAAAAGGAAACCCCTTGGACATAGGGAATTATAGACCCATAAGTCTGATGGCAAGTATATAAAAAATTATTTTCATCCGTAATACTAAAGAGAATATCCGACGACATGGATAAACAGCAACCAAAGGAACAAGCGGGATTCAGATCAGGTTTTTGTACAATGGACCACATACAGACATTAGAACAAGTTATAGAAAAGTACAGAGAATACGAGGGTGGATTGAAAAGTACTCGGCCTAACCAAGATAATAAACACATACTAAGTCAGTTATATTTTTATTTTTCTACATAATCACCATCAAGTTCAATACATTTTTGCCACCTCCCCTTCCAAGCATTTAGACCGTTGAAAAAAAATGATTCTTCCTTAGTGTCAAAATATGCGTCTACAGCTGCTTTGACCTCGTCGTTTGTCGAAAATCTTTGACCTCCCAAGTGCTTTTTTAGGTTAGGGAACAGAAAGAAGTCTGATGGTGCCAGATCAGGTGAATACGGCGGATGCGGTAACAGTTCAAAGCCACAGTTGTGAATTTCAGCCATTGACTGTACTGACGTGTGAACACGGGCGTTATCTTGATGAAACAGGACTTTTCTTCTGAGCATTCCTCGACGTTTTTCTTTTATTTCCTCTCGTAAAGGTGCAGTAGTAACCAGAGTTTATAGTCTGACCCCTTTCAAGATAATCAATGATAATCACACCTTTCGAGTCCCAGAATACTGAAGCCATCACCTTATTTGCCGACAAAATCGACTTAGCCTTTTAGGGGGTGGTGAACCAAGTCTTCTCCACTGTTTTGATTGTTGTTTTATTTCCGGTGTACAGTAATGAACCCATGTTTCGTCCATAGTAACAAAACGATTCAAAAAATCATCTGCATCGGCTTCAAATAACTCCAAACAGTCGCGTGAAATAGTCAATCGCGTCCTTTTTTTGTTCAACTGAAAGCAGTCGCGGAACCCACCTCGCAGACACCTTGTGGAAACCCAACTCGTTGACAATGATGTTTTGAGTTCATTCATAAGAGATGCCTATAATTTCGGCTATCTCTCTAATTTTTAATCTGCGGTCTCCCATTATTAAATCAAGTACTTTTTTAATATTTTCGTCAGTAGTTGACGTCGAAGGCCTTCCAGAGCGGGGTTCATCTTTCACACTCTCTCTACCACGCTTAAATTCTGCTATCCATTTTTGACGGATGAATATGACAGAGCACAATCGCCTAATGTACTGACCATGTCATCATGGATGGCTTTTGATGATAGCCCCTTCTTATGGAGGTACTTAATGACGGCACGCTGCTCGATTTGCTCCATTCGCGGAAATTATGTCCGATTACTTTGTTAATAAATTTATAAAATCACAACTAATTATCGCACACGTTTCGAACTTCACACAATAAACTAGTCTGAACTGAACTAAATAATGTGGGTAGATTTGATTTTTAGAATTGAATGGATCTGTGTTAGGCCGAGTACTTTTCAATCCACCTAGGTATAATAGACCTC